TCACCATCAGGTCAGCCATGAAGCCAACCATCTTAGATCAGACGATTTCCAACCTGGGACAACATTCCAAATATGACTTTCAGCTTCGTTATTTCCTACTTTTGACTTATTTGATACTTTTCGGTCATAAGGTTATTATGGATCAAGCTTCTTGATCCTAATCTCCCGATTTCGGGGAATTTTTCGGGGGAAATGCGACAAAATTCACGAAATGTCCCCTGGTCAGCGATTTCCCCCCGTGATTTCGAGTTGTTTTGTATAGATCGCCAAAAACCTAAGTGATATTTTGGATTTTCACCAGTGTTCAACAGATTTTACTGAAATCTATGAATTTTCACATGACTTTGGAGAAAAGCCAAAATTCGGAGATAGGGAAATCCCGAATGTTTGCAGCATCTTTATGTTTGCCCGCAAAACATTTTTAACTGATGCTAACTGAGGTGGAAGATGTGCAAGAAGAAATATTACACATACCTCAAATATCGCTGAGCAGTAAGTATGAGTTATATGCAATTTCCGATACGACAGTCACAATAATAATCGCTCGCTCTATTTAAAAGGACAGTGGTATTCTTTCTCGTTGAGTTAATTAACTGTTTTGATCGTAAATTACGCATCAAAACTACTGTTTACACTTTAATTGCATCTACCCCAGTTAAAGTGATATTTTATTGAGTTTTTCGATTTTGCTTCTGTGTATTTATTGCATCGAAGCATACTTGGTCGACTTTTACTTGGTTTATTTAGTTAAGGTTTGAAAATCCTTTTACATATCCTGTTTTTGTCACCGTTCTAGTTGATTTTCAAGATGGCTAGGTCTACTCATAAATGTGGACAACCATACTGCTTATTCCCCGTGGATGAAGGGATGCAATGTGATGAGTGTAATAAGTGGTTCCATAAGATGTGCACCCGATTAAGCCCCACTGCATATAAAAGGTGCTCAAAGCCCAACTCTCATTGGCTTTGTAGTTTTTGTTGCTCGAGCAAAACATTGCTTATCCAGGAAGCAATTAGTCTCCTGGTGTTGGCTAATAAGAAGGTTGATGAGGGCTGTACTGATAACATTGGTACGGATGACGAAGATTGCGTTAGTGTCGTAAGTGCTATCACGGCGCAAGCTAGACATCTACCTGTGCAGCCCGCAGTTAAACATTCTTCCCCGAAACGATCAGTGAGTGACACGTCATTAGACGTTGGTGGCCATATTGCTACAGCAGCAACCGGTGACCCAGTTAAAACAATTACTGTCCCGAGTTGTTCTAATGTAGACGTTTCGACTGATGGAAAATGGATGACGCGAAAACGCAGAAGAGTAGGAAAGATAGCTAAAACTAATGACTGTTTACTTGGTAAGTCCTTGGTGGACTCTCAGACCAATCCGCCAAAGTCTCATAGTAAAGCTTCGTCTGACATTGTTGTTAGTCATTCGCTTGACTCTCAGGACTCTGTTAAAATAAAAACTAATCGTAAGCTACCAGTAGTTAAAATACAGGATCTAACGTCACGGTCGAAAGCTGTGAACACAGTTTCAAAAGAAGCTAAACCCATCCCTAGTTTAATTATTTGGAATCTAGAGGAGTCGAAAGACAACGACCCTGCTAAAAGACACGCACATGACCTGCAGTTAGTGGAGTCTGTGGTGAGGAATGTACTACCTGAAGAGGTTTCAGGGGTACATATTACAAAAGTAATACGACTTGGTAAATGGGTTGGAGGCGAGACCCAACCAAGAAGGATCCTGAAGCTGGTTCTCGGGAGTTTCGAAGAAAGAGACATATTATTGAAAAGCGCACTAAAAACTCGTGCCTCAAATATCCGTATTCGACCAGATTGGCCGCTTGAGGATCGAATCAAGTGGAAGAATGCTCTTACGGAGTTGAGGACTCGCAAATTAAATGGCGAAAATAACCTTACCATTAAGGGTTTTCGGGTAGTCAGGTCTTGGAAGCCAATGCTTCCGAGGCCTGTATGGGTAGAACGATTGATCTCCAAAACACCTTAAGTGTGTGCTACACGAACGCTCGTAGTCTTAGAAATAAAACGTCCGAGCTAAGTCTGATGGTGGAAGAATTATGTCCCGATATAATCGTTGTTACAGAAACTTGGTTCACCGTTGATATAGACTGTTCTCCTTTCATTGCTGGTTATATCTGTATCAGAAGTGATAGAGTTTCAAGTCGCAAGGGGGGAGGTATAATATTTTACGTTAGGGATCACTTTCGTATACAATCAACCATATCGGAGGCTCATATCAGTGGCACATGTGAGGTTGCATGTTGTAAGATTAAATCTAGAAATGGGTTAGTGACTATAGGGGGAATATACCGTAGTCTGTCTTGTCTTGCTGACGACTTTATCCTAAGACACATCTGTTCTTGGAGTATGGCAGAATGTTGTCTCATCATTGGGGACTTCAACGCACCGCATATCAACTGGATAGAGCTTACGGCTCCAGGTAGTGGTTTCGATAGCGACCTTTTATCTACCGTTATTCAGTGTGCACTTGTACAATGTATCACAAAACCGACACATATTGATTTGCAACATGTTCCGTCACTGCTGGACCTCGCCCTCACCCACCACTGTGAGGATGTCTTTGATATCCAGCACCTTCCTCCACTAGTGAACAGTGATCACGTTGTAATTCACTTTAAGTTTAGGACGCATGGTATACAATTCGTATCTGCTCCACCCCGTCCCAATATCTGGCGAGCTAATATTCCGGAAATCAGAAGCCGTGCTATCTTGACCGATTGGTCGGTCGACGCGAAAGGATTGATCGAAGATGAATGGAATAAGTTTAAGGCTACATTCGAGTCCGTAACGTCGCCGTTTATCCCATGGTCAGCACGTAAGTTATCACATTGCCCTCCATAGATTATTAAGGAAACCCGGAAGCTGTTAAAGCGTAGGAAACATTTTATTATTTTTATTATCATTATTATTATTGACAGGTCATGCACCATTCAAGCGTGAGTACCAAAAATTCCGCAATATCTGTAAGAAAACCATAGCCAAATCCCGTACCACTTACGAACGACAGTTAGTATATGATAGCCGTACTTGTCCGAAACGATTGTTTTCGTATGTTAAACGGCGAATGAAACGTAGTGATGGTATTCCCCGGTTACTGTTACACGAAAATTCAGAATTACTAGCTGAATCAGATCGAGCAAAAGCTGAGACTTTTTCAGACTATTTTAGCGAAATCTTCTCTACGTTTATTGTAACAAATACTTGTCCCACTCACACCGAGATACCAACCATTGAATCTGTACAGGTGGCTGAGGAAACTGTCCTTCCGTTGATAACTGACCTCAAACCTGGTAAGATACTGGGCCCTGACGGGTTACATCCACGGTTGCTGTCATCTCCCGAAGACATTATTTCCAAACCGCTCGCGACACTCTTCAACATGTCCCTCTCACTCGCTCAACTCCCTAGAGATTGGAAGGACGCTATAGTTAGTCCTATATTTAAGGACGGTCAGCGACAGATAGTATCTAACTACCGGCCTGTCAGTCTAACTAGCATAGTCGTTAAGTTACTCGAAAAGATAATTCGGGTTAGGTTGCTAAGCCACGTAATTTCACACAATCTGTTAGCTCCTGAGCAACATGGATTTCGTAACAAGGGTTCATGCTTGACTAACTTATTGCGAGAGAGGATTGGACAGCAGCCCTAGATCACGGTCTGTCTGTCGACGTGATATTCATAGATTTTAGCAAAGCGTTTGACAAGGTTTCACACGTAGGTCTTATGCAGAAGCTCACGAGCTTCGGAATAATAGGTACTGTACATGAGTGGATAGGAAATTTCTTATGTGACCGCAGACAGAGAGTTAGGGTCAATGGAACGCTATCCGATTGGAAGCCGGTCAAAAGTGGTGTACCACAAGGCACCATCTTAGGCCCTCTGATCTTCCTTCTCTACGTTAATGAGTTACCACTGTTACTTAGGTCGTCGACATTATTGTTTGCAGATGATGTAAAAATCTGGAGAACAATAAAAAGTGCAGCTGATCATGTGGATCTTCAAGCTGACTTAGACGATTTAGTTAGATGGGCTCGAGAGTGGGGCTTAGAAATCAACGCTAGGAAGAGTGTACTAATGCACGTCGGTCACGGTAATAGTTACCGTTACACTATTGAGGGTAAACCTCTTCCATGCGTTCAAGAGCATAAGGACTTAGGAGTAATATTAAGTCATGACTTAAAAACAACTGCGCATTGCAAAGCAGCCGCTGTCAAAGGTTTTCGTGCGTTATGGTCACTTCTCCGAGCGTTCAAATCTTTTGACGAGGAAACGTTTCGAATTTTATATCCCATATATGTTAGACCACATTTAGAGTACTGTATCCAAGCAGCTAGCCAGTGTCTAGTAAAGGATACTAACTCCCTTGAGCGTGTCCAGCGTGTGGGAACGAAATTAGTGAAGGGTCTTTCTAGACTCCCTTACGATGAGCGCTTAAAACGCCTAAATCTTTTCCCCTTATCGTATCGTAGGACACGAGGTGACCTTATACTGGCATTTCGTATCTTTAATTATGATTTGAGTGTTAATATGTCTTATCTTTTTGCTCCCTCCAGCACTAATAATCTCCGAGGTCATAGCAAGAAGGTTCATAAACCACGATCTAATAAACTTAAAGTGGGATCCCGTTTTTCTCATCGAGTAGTCAATCATTGGAACGCCTTACCCGAACAAGTGGTATCAGCCCCATCAGTGAATACCTTCAAGGAAAAGCTGGACCTTCACTGGAAAGCAATGTGTCAGGATTAACACAGGTTCATCAACCTACTATCCTTATTACTGAAGACTGAAGACTGAAGACAACTGAAATGCGATTTCTAAAGACGCAAAATATTCGTTTCATTTTTTAAAGTTGTTCACAGACAATCATCTTCGTCACCAACCCAGAAACTGTGCTAAAAAGAACGGATTTAATTTTTCTGCTACTCACTGAACAAAAGTTAAGGTTTCAACAAAGTATCACCTTGAGTTATGTGCGTGCTTCAAAGTAAAATGTGCTTTGCGCGTTACAAGTGACTTCGTGGAGTTATGAACGCGTTGATGGATAATGCCGTAAGAAAACATTTCAGATCTACCACTCTGGTTTTTCTCGACCGAGTCTTTAAGCACTTACAATCTATTTTAGAGTTACCGTAACGAAGCTAACAACTGCGGTATTGTAAGTGCCACTTCAACCTCTGAAGGTGCGTCTCACAAAATTTTGCATATTTGGTTTCACCAACCGGCTTCGATTATTCGGTTTTATGCTTGCGCAGCAAAGTTGAATCTTATATTTTATACTCTCTCTGGTGGCGTCTCCTGAGGGTTCTGACACCTGTATTGATAACTAGGCCACTTTAGCGAAGCTACTATGTTATCAGAGTGTTAAGCGTTTCATTTTTCATCATGTATTTTCATTTTCTGTCGGCAAAATAGTTTTAGTGATTTACTCCTGACTTTTGTAAGTAATAGAAATTGGTTAGTCTATGATGGTCGTTGACACTCATGATTACAGCGTCCCCTTGGGACGGATTTTAAAACAGGCTGATGGCATGTATTTGTGTCAGTAGTTTCCATTATCCATTGTCACGCGCAGAAAATGAGCCTGTAAACTCACTGAGTGTTGACTTCTCGAGCTTTTCAACCATATTTTGGATTACCATCTCTAAAAGATGAAAAAAAGAAATGACACTAATAACAGTAGATTTATATCATAAAATTACATCAGTTTACTTCAAAACTTTTAATAGAGATCGAAGTTTTCTTATACTGCTTATAAAAAAGATCAAATGTATGATTGAGTATTTGTTATAATCTTTTAAACACGTTGCAATACATGTTTCGTATGCAACCTATGGGTTTGCGTCTTTGTTTCCTTATTTCAACTAAAGTCGTTTGCGTTTTAGTTATGTGTTCTGGATCATTCTCATCTTTGCTCTTGACGTTCTTACAAAGCAACCACAAAAACCCAGAAACTAGTGACCCTTTTTGCTTCGTATTTGGGGTTTGAGGTCACTATGGACAGTGACTTTCAAGCGACGGTAAGCAGTAAATAAATGTGTGCATGTTTACTGTCTCACCCGTTGTCTGTCTTGTTCTATTCGGCTCAAGCTTTTTGTCAAAGGGTCGTTCACGTAAATCAAACCTATCGAATGTCAGTATAACAAGATTTAGACTGGGACTGCCAAGAGCAGCTTTATAATTTCGTTTCTTAAAACAGATATATTATTGGCGACCCCAAATGTACCTCTTAAGTTGGAGGATTTGTCACGTTGTGTTTATTTGACTGTTCGTTTGACAGTACAGATCTGTAAACTTAACTTTAACCCTCTGTAATGTATGAGAACATGGGAAAGTTTTACTGGTGCGAAGTTATTTAGTCTTTTTTACCTTATGACCTTGTTTCCTCCTAATAGATGATCAGCTGAGTTTATGCTGTCTCTGTGGTCAAACGTTTCCAAGTATCAAGTCCCTTCATATGCACATTAATGTTGTACACGAAGGTAAGCTTATTTAGTAGATTTCAAATTTGGTTTGCTATCAACAGTTTAAAATAATGCTACAGCAAATATCCTCTGTCATGGGGTTTGCCAAAACTATGTTTGACTTTCATGTATCGCTAATCAAATTACAATAAAGATCTTTTGTTCTAAGTATTCAACTAATAAGTACTCGTGTTCAAACTCTGCTCCAACTATATTAATTTATATACCCAAGTGGCAGCTGATAGATTTTTTTATCCTAACATTTCGGCTTGATTACAGGGATAGTTCGTTCTATTCCTCGTTCTTATCCTCTTTATATTTGACCAATACATATTTTGCCCATTAGCTTCCGACTCATAAAAAGTCATTTTTCATTTTCACTGTATTTAAACTGATAAGTTTTGTACTTGAAATATAAAGCGAACTGTTGATTTTGTAGTATATATAATATGAATATGTATTTCACTTGACGTGTTCAACGTGTACCCATATGTTCTAGTTCAGCCATTTTTTAGTATCAAGTTTGACTACGTATTCTTAAGTTTACCTTAAAACTGCTTTTGAAATCCAGAAATTGCATTCTTATTCCTATTTAAGGATCTACGATTTTTGTCTCCACTAAGTCCAGCGTTTCTGTCAACATTTTCATAGGTCTATATAAACCGTTTATCTAGCTTTGATTACATATACGTAGTTGTTTTAGATAAACATGTTGACGGAAATAATAATCCTAGATTTGTTAAGAGAAAAATTAAGGATCTTCAGCATTAATTTTAAATCTGTCGCAAACTAGCTGGTACATCGAAGTAGTCTGTCTACACATAATTCACTCGAATTCAAAGTTGTGGGCTGCGTTATTGCAAGTATATTCTACCACCGTTGCTAATTTTAAAGCTGACTCGGTTGTAATTGGTAGTGACGTAAGACACGATAAAATCTTACATTTGTATTAAATTTCACTAACTTTTGGAATGCTACAGACAGCAGCAATATTCGCCATTCATGTAACGTAGCCCACTGGCGAGACAAGATGGAGGAAGATTGTGGAATGTTTCCACAACATTGAAACAACTAACAGGCGTTTATGTTATTTAAGGGGTAGTTACGGATTTTGAGTCCACTTATGCGGGTCGAGAAACCTGGTTTTCAAATTGGTAGCTCACATTAGCCTCAGGTTCTTGTTATAATTTGTGACGTACGTACATATTGTGGCCACAGATTATTCTGATGATACATCTTTCGACGTTGCTCTATTGCTTTTCCGATCAGATAACTAGGTCTGAAACTACTTTATCCGACGTGCCAGAAGACCCAATATCTATAATCACGGGCTGACGACAGATACAATGTATTCGTCATTACTTTCTTTTCCCCAACGGGTCGTAGCGTATACGCTGTTCAGAATCAGTCTAATTATCAATTAATTCTCAACAAGGCTCATTTGGTAGATATCACAACACGAACTACCAACACGGATGCTCTAGTTGAGTGTTTAGGTCAAGAATTGAGCTTTTCAGCCAGCTAGTATGAAGCCGATGTTCTCAGGTTGGACAATACAGACTATTTTCTGCTGTGACATGGAGTGTCGTTAGTTTTACTTAGTCCCGTACGCCTGATCTCACGTTTACTTGCTCGGTGGTTTCACCAAACGGAAAGTGTTTCACTGACTAATACAAATTTGTACATCATTCTTTCTACCCAGATGTTGGCGCCATTTTAGCAGTTATTTGAGAGTCAGTTTCTGTAATTACTCTAGATTGGCTTAGAATTTAGTAATTTATCTCAACAACATATCCACTTTCATAGCTGCTTCATCGTAAGTTGAGAGCAGAGAATGAGATCCCAGGTCTAGTTTGTATTATGAATGTCCGTTTACTCAGAAAAAGGATAGGGCGGCTAAACTAGTTATGGCAACAGTTAATGATGTCATTAAATATTGATCTAAGCCTTGCGAGCATGACAACTGCAATTAATGGCTGAATATGTTGGGTGTCACGGCTCAGGTTCTTTTACAGTGGCGTAAATGCATTCACTCCCTATCTTCTCTTCGTTCTTGAATCCCATTACTCTTTCAGATACACCTTTCCATTATCTTTTCAAACTATATCATCGATTGTCGATCTTTGCTATTATATTCTATCTCCTTTACTATCGATCTTGTTATTTTCATCTCGTCATAGTTATATGGTTTAGCAACTTTGGCCAGCGTACATCTTATCAAACCTCTACTTTGGTTATGGCTAACCACGTTTATTCGCCGCTATTGAACATCATTTTATCTCCTAAAATCTCACTGTCTAATAGTTGACTACATTGAGGAAGGTCAAACTACTCATCATCAACTGTAACAAAACATTTGAGACCTTCATATTTATAATTTCGATTAGACTATAATATTATACCATTCAACGAAGGCTTCTATTAGTGGTGTAAACGGTCGTCTAAGCGTATTTGTTTAGGTCTACTGAGTAATAGCAGCTAGATGCTCTGAAAGGAGTAGTTAAGGAACGAACACAAAATCACAGTTTCATTTACTTCCTATCTTATGATATTTAAAGCTGTTATTACTCGCCATTTATTTCCCAAGATTACTTTATATCCTTCTTCCCTATTTCATTATTTTTTAGACAAGGTACGTCAATTTAAATCGTATTATATTTTTGTGTAAGCCTCTGTGCCAGTATTTCTGCTTACCTTTGATGATCATTACAAATAATTTATGCTAAATTACAGTCTGAATCTAATGCTAATCTAACCCATTTACGAGGTAAATGTCTTATATACAAGACTTTACACCTCACTTTGTGGACGCCATTGGTATCACTCGGCTGCTCAAAAAAAAGTATTTAGAATGAGTTTCGAACTTAAGATCTATTCGTTGAAAGCTTAGTGCCTTCACCACTATGCAGCTACTACTTTTGTTTATTGAATAATCTGAATAGTCTAATTTTCCCATCAATGTAGAATATAAATTTATGCCAGGTAGAACGAATAAAATGTAACGTTCCTTGGTCGGTATAAATCAAATAACTAACTTTATAGAAATACTAATTGTTTTCCCCTTTGATTATTTTAGAAGTTGCAGACTCTTTTGATTTTCAGTTAACAGATGGTGAAAACGACGACTCTCATTCAGTAAGTTCAGACTATTGAGATGTTTTTGAATAGATTGTGAAAAAATATACTACTTTCGTCTACTTTTAAAAAAGAACTGTAGTTTTTACTATTTGTTATGTCTTTAATGTAATCTCTTTTTAAATTTCACTGGACCAATATAGTGAATATCCGAGTAAAAGTCCCTTAATAACTTGTGTGAAGCAAGAATTCTAATCAAGTCTAATTTTATTAGTTTTGTGATAAATATGTCATATACTGGGATATGTTATTCGTGATGAAATAACCGGACTCATGCGTATTTTATTTATTTATTTGAGCACATAAATATTGGTACAAGAGGGCACCAAATATATATGCGCCACACTTTTGTGTGTGGGCTGTGATACTGCCCGAGTGCCCAGACCGAAACAGGTGGTTTTCTTAGGGGGCCATGCCCCGAGGCTTTGACCTAAGGGTCTGACCCACAAGGCAGTGGAGCATCGTGAGGAGATGCTTCCCATCATAGCCGGTGACCAACGATTGGTTCATACGCTTTTCGTCCTCTCATTTTCGTAAACAACACTCCCGCCACGAGAAAGCAATGTGTAGGACTTCCCTAGCAGAGGCTGTATACGTGTAGCCGTAAATGAACAGTAGTCATCTCTCAGACTGGACGGCTGGATCAATGAGAATTCACTGTTAAATAGTTTAATAAACATTCAACTCCCCACTACCCACTCTCAACTTTAACAGGATATAGAAGTCAAACCCCCAACTCTTAGCAAAGTGAGAGAAACTTTGATTAACTTTATTCAGGTGGGATTAATATATTGTGACGGGTTGATTTCTTAAGTTTGAGATCTAGATGTAATTCGGTGTCATTGGTTTCATATTTTTGTGCTGAGGCTGTAAAGACAAAAGTTAGATCTAACGCGTCGTTTGTTTGCGTTTAATACTGAGTGAATTAGTATATAACTCAACTGCAGACACTAACAGAAGCTAAAACCTTGAAGGTCGAGCTCAACATGTACTATATTGAACGATCTATGGATATTTTGTCAAAAAGTTAATCAGACATTGAAATTTACCCAACAAATGCTGTTCATCGCTCTCACCAACTGCTGCATTTGATGTTTTATACAGCCTAATGTTTTTAAACCTCGTCTACCTGTACTTCGTCTAGTTGTAGATCGAAAGTTTAACCACTAACTTCGACAGTGTATTTTTTGGTTTCTACAGCAGTAATCGTCAATATTCCTATTAATTTGACTATCGGCTTATCATAAGAATGGTTGATTTTTCTGGACTGTTCGTGGCACTATGGATTCTACCAATAAAATCAGGCTTTGTGTCCTATTTCTCTGCACTTACTGGGACAGTGGTTTTCGTAGAGGCATTGTTTAGTCAAATAATGTGCATCCTACCTCCAGTAGATAAATAGTAAAGCCTTCCTCAACACTTTAGTAGATTATTTAAGCAATGCGATGGATCCAAGAGACTTAAGATCAAAATTACATAAACTCCGAAATTGCCATAATTTCTAGATTAGCTCGAAGTAATATGCTTGACGTAGTTTATCTATCGAAATTCTGCTGTGACATCAAAATTCGATCCATGGTCATTATCAAACTATTCACCAATATAGTGTTGATGGCGACAGATTTCGCAGATTGATAACATCAAATGAGATCAATAACTCGCCAAATGGCTTTCAAGGTTGCTAAATTCGATTAATCATATTGGTAGACAATCTGACTAAACTTCTCTTATTTTACCCATCTTACGCAACCATACTTCATGGTGTCATTAAGTATGAGGTCTACCATAAAAATGCTCACCGTGGTGGAGTCAGAGATAAACTAAAAAAGTGTAGTTTGTTTTCATTAGATAACCTTATTGGAATGCTGAAAACGTCATATAAAATCCCTGTTTCAGGAATTTTACGGGACAAATATTATTCTTACATGATATTGTCTTGCTATACCAAATTATACTAAATGGTAACATCATTTTATTCAATATGCTACAATCTTATTCTTCGCGTTCTTTATTTATTTTTAGGTCACCTTAGGATCGCGGATCTCACTGTCATCTAGTAGTGAGGAATTTATATCCAGTAAGTAATGTTTTTACTCCCTTGGCAAACAGTTATAAGTTGTTTGTCCTTCTTTTCTTTATCATTCTAAAATACTTAGAAGATATTAAAATGAAAATAATTTATTGTTACAGATAATCTTCATTTTTAAGTTTTGTTTATTGGCTATGAATTTATAAAAGTAATCTAACAAGGCTTCACTCCTATTCTTACGCTGTTATTATCCGCAACATTTAGAATCCTGTGGAGTTAACAGTCAATTCTAGTGGGTTAATTTTGCTGTAAACTTTGTTGAACTCTTCACTTCATTTCTTGAGTTCTTTTTTTGTGCTCAACTAACTTTATTGATTCAGTTCTTAAGATTGATTGGTGTTTACGAATATATTGTGAATTCTTGGAAAAGTCACTGTGAAGTATAATAATCAGTTTGTATTTCGCGTTTGTTTACCATAACACTGTAAAACCATTAATACTAAATTGTCTTTTAAAGTCTTTTGCAACTGCAATTTAATTAGTACCGAATCTCCCATTTAGCGGTGAAAGAATTTCGTTGTTTATATATTTTTTTCAGGAAAATTCTTTCTTTATTGTCGTGGACTTATTTGTACCCTACTTCTTTGAATATTTATTAATATTACTCAAACATCAGATGTACAAGGTTATACACTTAGCATTGAAGTACACTTTGTGTATGGCTTATTGATTCTGCATGGGTTTCTAAACCACAATAGGTAGATGTATATATATATATATATACCATTCTTTCCCAAACAATATTCTTTACTGTTTAGAATTATTAGAGCACGAACTGGCAAACCTGTTAAGTCTTTAAATGGCTGAATACATATTTATGTATTGGTTTGTTCATAATCATTCTAATAATATCCTCTTTACTTTAACATTCAGAGCCTGAAACTCCAGTTGTTTGTCCGAATTGTAAAAAGCCGTTTCCTGGTCTCACAAGTTTGCGAGTTCATATAGATTCTGTACATCATGGTGAGAGTTTATACAATTAATTGACTTAACTGTTTATTTTGAACATAAATAACTAGTGTATAAGTTGAAGAAAGTTCAAAATATTTGATTATAGTTTTCATTACAGACTAGATAACCGTTCAAAAAAATGAAAACCTTCAAAGTAATATTCTATTATAATTTGATGCATTTCAACAATTCACTCAGTTTCCTCGAACTGCAGTTAAGGTTATGACTATCAGGTTTGAATTGTTAATTTAACACTTTGGCTACTGATAAACTCTTAGTAAAGTATTACATATTCAAATTAAGAAGCACTTAGTTTATCTTGTAAATGATGTTAACTACTTATAATTACTATTACCGATTGGCTGCCGGAAAAAAATCTGGTTAACCAATAGTATACATATTAAGGGATTGAAAATATATATATACTAAATATTTAATCAAGATAGTATGACTTACCAAACAATAAATGATTAATCAATGCTAAAAATTAAGATTATCAAAAAACTAATATTTTTGTAATTATATTTGAAAGTAGCTAATAATAAGATCCCAAGTGTCAACATGATGTAAAGTAGAAAAAGAATAAGTTGAAAACTTGGTTCATTTCAAAAGACCAGAACACTAAATTTTCATGAAAAACTAATTATCTTGGGTAAAAGTATATGAGCCTAAAAAATAATTGTGACGAATTTCTAGCCAGTTCTTAGTCAGTCAGAAAACAGCTTTTATAAATTGGTATTTTATGGAAAAGAAAACAGTAATATTGCAAAGTGTAATATTTACTTATAAATCTATTAATGCTTCGACAGATTCCTCTGTAAATCGAGGAAACAACAACGTATAAACTCGTCTTTATGGATAAAGATTGTCCATCTCAAACCCCTATAAGGACTCAAACAAATTTTTAATCGTCTTTATGTTGTTACTAGTTAGAGTTAGGTATTTAAGATTGAGGTTTTCATCCTGAACTGACATCAGCTACAATGTAAAATGCTCTGCAACACTAATAATGAACTAATTCCGAGCGAGAATAAAATTTACGGACGATCTTTGAGCGATGCTAAAGTGACCTTAGGAAAATTCTCCTACTCACTAAGATCAGAAGATGGATTAAGATTTAGAATTCGACGTGAGAGTTTTCATCACGAACTGACCTCATCTGTAATGCTGAAATACTATTTAGCCATATGAATGAAAGAATTCCGCTTAAAAATCCAAGACCTGCTATTTTAAATCTCATTGGTTCGTATATATGTTGTAGTCTCACTGAATTTCGTTCATAGGCACAAGAGGCGCTATGTAGTCAGTTCATCCACAAGATGCGATGTCACCAAGTTAAAGTTCGTTTTCATGATTAAGCTTTTAGGGGTAAGATTCAGGGATAGTGTCGACTTGTTATATACAGACTAGAGGGACAGAATTAGATATTTGATGAGTTTAATACTATCATTTTTACCACATAGCTGAAGAAAATAATTTTCCAATGTCATTTTGAACGTTTAGATCAGTATACAAACGTATTTTTGCTACTCTTAATAAATGACGTTTGGATTTCACACAAAAACGTAGAACACATTCTCGATTCTGATTGGCTTGTCCCTAGAATATACTTTTGCCATATCTTCTTGATTCGTTTGTTAGCATCAAAATGTTAAAAACAAACTAATCACTGCACCCAAATTTAACCTTACGCTGAACATGTAACTGATTGGATTCTATCCTGCTATTTGTAATGCAAATACGTCACAAATACTAAAATCATATAGATCGTTTACCGACGAATGATTTTCTTTCTGTAGAGGTTAACTTATTTTGGTACTCATCCATTTAGTTTCTTATATAGTCTGTTTTAATTAAAAGTGACAAAATATCATCGAAGACCATCAACTGTTTGAAAAACTGAAAATGTTAAAATAATAATTGGGGATTTATTAAGAACAAACACAATTGTTTCCCACAAAATCATTAATAATTCCTTGAGGGGATTTTATAAAAGGCAACTATTTAAAGTACTTTACATTTTTCATCATTCAGAGTAGTGAGACTTAAAATGAACACTAAACTAGAACTTTTGTCGAATAACTCACAGTGAAAGCATTGTACATGTTTCTTTTCTGGGATATTTTTAGATCACGAATCTGATTTTGTTATCAATATCTATCTTTATAGTCTATATTTAATTAATATTCTCAGAGATTTACTTCTAACTTAATAGATTTATGTGAACATTTATTATCCACTAGGTAATCGAATACCTCAATGTGATTATTGCATGAAAAAGTTTTCCACATTATCCTACCTTCGAATGCATATTTCTACTGTTCATGAAGGTTAGTTATCATTTGAAATATTGCTAATTGTTTGGTCATCCAAAAGTAAATATAAGAGCATAATAACTTGTTCCGATAATCTACAATAAGATGCAGATCAAGTACGTTTGAAGCATAAAACCAAAGCTTTTGTACGTGTCCAACTTACAATTAGGATGTACAATGATAATCAAAGCGACGTTTACATAAAATTATAATTAATAATCGTAGGAACACTACAGTTAACCTTTTGAACTAAAACTCAAACTTTCTACTTAATAAAAGTGTCTTGAAGCGAGATGTGAGACAATTTTTTGCTCTCTCCACTCCTCTGTTTATTATTGTGTCATCGCTAAATGTTTTTCAGTAAGTAGTTTAAAAATTGTTGTTTGTAGTAAATATCGTTTATCTAATATTTCTTGTTCAACGTAATAGTTTTGTGATAATTGCATACGCTTGTCTGTTTATACTCTTTGCCTATGTCAGTCACTCATCCACAACAAAGGACTAGACACTTATAGATATCAGTCCAAGTTACCATACCTCATAAGCACAACAAGATGAACACCGAATTCATAGAAGTAGTCGCTTCAATGTTAGTAATATGTAAAAGAAAGATTGCATATAAGGATATAGTACAGGAAAAAAGAATTAGTTGGTAGAAAGAAGGATATAAAGTAATTTTAATCTCATTGTTTATAGGAAGACAAAGAGTGTATACATCCACACCATTGTGATCGATTCTGAGCCATGTCACCAAGAGTCTCCAACCATTGGTTAAGATAGTCACGCTGACCCTAACCAAATAATCTGCATCTGCCAACATGGTTAAGACCAGAAGTGAGTGACCTCATGGAATGATTTCACTTTTTGGTTTGGTCACCCTTCGATTTCTTCCAACCGTCTCCAACACTACTCAGCATTGCGCGTCGTGGTAATCGGTATTCAAGTATACGTCACACGTGGCCTAACCAACTCAGTCGATGAAGATTTACAACCTCATCCACTTGTGTACCATCATTTCCTAATACACTGCGTCAAACATCAATTACGGTATACTTGTCCCTTGATTGATAGACGGATATCCGGCCTTTGCCATATGTGACGTAAGTAGGTAAAAGCCAAACGAACTTTCTGAAACCGTGCAGAGCTTTCGTCATATACCAACCCATTAGTGCTGATCAGACTTCCAAGATGAGTGAAGTTATCGACGCGTTCGACTACTTCACTCCCTATCCTTAGTTCAGGTGTTGACGCAGGCCATTTCTGAAACAACAACTTGCATTTAAAGGGGGAGTTGTCTACTCGACATAATTCAGATAATTGACAGTTTTCATTGATTTGTACACCAAAATATATATAAATGAAATTCAATTTATTTCATCTATACTAATTGTTCTCTCACACCTCAATCTAGGTAATTAGTATCGTATGTTCAAAGTAAAGTGCGTGCAAAATCTTGCAAATAGATTAAAAATAAAAATAATCAGTTTTAATTACAACCGTTGATCAATATTCATAAATACGTGTTACATTAAGTATTATCGTATTATTTTATATCGTAAAATCCAAGGTCACTGTAAGATTTGTTGTTATTACCGCATGTTTATGCATAACTTCATTTGTGAAAGTGTATGTTATCCCTTAATGCAGATTAGAGCTGTGCACGTTTTGTATATTTCACACTCTAGTATTGTTAATAGTAGTTGCAGTAGTAGTAACCATAGAAAGGTTCCCCTTTTGTTTATAAGATCCTCCTGGCTTTTGCATAAAAAATCACTCATATATATTTGGCTCACTCTTGTACTAATATTTATGTGTTCAAATAATAAATAAAAATAAAAGAAAGAAGGGATGCGTCGTGGGGAAATTTTCCGCTGTTGCGTTTTTCTTGCTTGTTCATGTCATTCCTGTTTATTTGCAAGCATGTCTTTGAGTGCGTAGGTACTTTTTTCATGTAACTACCTATGTTTTGTGGTTTAGACACGTGATTGGTACTTAAATTCGCAAATTAATATCTTGTTTATTCAAATCATACACAAAAAATCTTAATTGAGATCTCTCATAATATACGAATCACAGGGCTACTGACCTATTCACATACTTGCTAAAAGATGCGTAACTATACGGATTGACAGTTTTCTACTGCGCAACTGTGATAGATAACTATATTAATATTGAAGTTCGAAAAAAATACAATTATGGTAAAACACTCACTTATGAAGTCAATGTGAAACAGTTCGTTTTATGTAACTTTTATACTAAGTGTAAAATTCATTTCCGTCATATGTATTAAACATTTCATAAACAATGCTTCATTCCATAGTAGAAACATCACAAAACTTCATTTTATTCCATAAACTACCCTCTTGTGATGTGAAGTGTAAATACGAACACCAACATTTTATAACGTCCAAAGTTTTTTCACCACTACAATCTACCTCAATGCTAAATAGAGATCTTATTATCCATCATATCTTTCAATCTCGTTGTTTCAACTTAGTGTTGATTCAATATCAAAGTGAACCGCGGTAGTGAGTCTGCAGTAACAATTAGAGGAAATCAAGTGATAATATTGGTATATCGAACATACTTCATTCAATGTAATGAATCTATAAACTAAACTTGTTACCTTGACACTTGATTTTAATTGTCATAACTTGAAACCGTAACCAATATCGCTAGTTTTCAGGGTTTTTTTCTCTGAAATGTTTCATAATCTTTCAGAGCATTTTCATTCATTTCGTAATCATTTAGTTTTGTGTTTATATTGTTTTAAAAATAGGTATTATCTTCCCCATTCTTCACATATTTTTTTAATCATTACTCAGGTGTCCGTGCATATTCTTGTAATATCTGTGAGAAGAGTTACACTCAAAAGCACTCTTTGAAAAAACATCTTAGAAATTCTCATTCAAGTATGTTTCTACGTCCATGTTATCTGTGTTGTTTATTGATAAAACCGTAAAGAAATTAATAGTTTCAATAAAATACAAGATTTTAAAGAATGAAGTGTATTCCAAGAGCTGTGGGTTAATGATACTACCTTATATCCTAAACTAAATTAAGTGGAGTGGGGCTCAAAATTGGGGATTAGTAGCTGAGAGTCGAACGCCCCAACCATTAAGCGACCGCTTAGTGGTATACAGTCATTTTACAAGCACATTTTACTACATCGGAAAAAATAAATTTCCGTTCCTAAAAAATAACATTTGAAATCGTCAACCGGTCTAAGTTAGACAACCACTTTAAACTTGGGAGCACTGGACAGTCGTTTCGTCCTACCATGGGACTTCTCTCCAGTGCACATCCACGACCCCGCAACTGGATATCAAACTCAAGACCTTCAGTTTCACGTGCGGACGCTTAATCTCTAAACCACAAAGTAAATATTCAACTATTTTCATGGCTAACTCCAATTAATCCATTATATTGTGTCACCGTTTTCCACTGTGCTTTGTGTGTACCTTCCTCGCACTCGACACGGTCGAACTCCGCTGGTCATAGCTTCTCACTAAGACTTCAGAAATTTCCTCTCCAAGCTGTTTACTAGTAAGTGCATGGTAAATGTCAGTACAGGGCTGTGGAGATTGTTGAATTTCACTATAATCATGAGTTCGTGGGTGCATAATGCTGAGAAGTCTCATACTAGGAATAAACAGCCGTCTAGTGCTTTCACGCTGTCAGTGGTTATGATTTCAATGAAATTTAACCATTTTTACAACCCTATACTGATAACTATCTCTCTCTACGTAGCCCCAAATACGTAAGTATTTTATTAAATTATATCTATGCAAAAAGAGATTGATAAAGTTAATACAGAGCTTAAATATAATAAATCTTGTTTTCATACAACCCATATTTCACGGATAATTTCGATTAACTAATGAACATCTCACATTTCGGTTGAAATTAAGAATAGACTCAATAATTATCACATATCTTACGAAGAATCTTTGAATTTGAATACGATAATCTCTGTATTCTTGGATGAAAAAACAGTTGACTAGTCAAGTATTATCAAACAATTTAGCATGTTCTTTGACCATATTTTAGCCTTCACCTCTATAAAAGGCTTATTGCACGTCGTCTGGACACTATAATTTATGCTTCAGAAATTTTTTAAATTTATAATACCTATCAACGATGACCCATACATTTTATTTTTTCTATTTAGTCTCATCCAGTCAAGACATACTAGATGATTCAGGACCAACTAATGGGGTACCGAATAAATCTAGTCAGTCTACATGTTCCAATGAAATGCGTACTTTTAAATCACGCAAAAGGTTACTCGTTGATTCTCCAATCATACCTAATTCCTGTAGTCCTATTCCATCTAGGTCGAACGAAGTAAGTGCCTACTTCAGTGATATGATTCAAATGCACCACTGACTTTCCCAATGTTCTTTTATGTGTAAATCACTTATCTTTATTTACCGGTTTTCTATCCAAATCACTTTTAGTTTAGGAATATTATCATCTTTGTATCTTAACCAATTTTCTTTGGGTTACTCAAACGTGCCACTTTTTGGAGTGAAGAAATATTTGTTCCATGATTATTCATGAGTGCCAGATTTATAGTTAATCTTCTTATATTAATTATTTACTGCTAACAATAAAATTAGGAAATTCATTTCTTAAATAGGTTTGTTCAAGTATATTGACAGAAAAGTACGTTGCTACTGAATAGAAAAGCTACCAAACCTTATGAAGGTTTTAAGTGGCTACTTCAAAATGTACGATTTTTACTCAGTGGTAATGTAAATTTATACACCTGGTTTTAGCCAGATGCATTATGTGAAGGTTTAGTGGTACTGTGATTATGCTACTTACGTCTATTGACATAAGTAGCATGTAACACCAATCGGAAGTGGAAAACCTTGCAGCAGAAGGCTATGATGGTTGACTTAAAGGAAACAGAAACGGAATTAGAAAGGAATTGCTAATCGGAAGAATCATCCAAAATCTGAAAGACAAATGATGGAAATTTGCAAGTGAAGTATTTCATGTATGTATGTATCATTCCCAAGGTTTGATTTGATAATTTCGAATAAACTGAGCATTGGGTAGATTGTTATAAATAAATAATATCTTTGTAATATCCCAATGAGTAGAAAATCAAATTTTCTGATGTTTCGTGACTTAGTGTAAGTCACTTCTTCAGAGAATAAATAACCAAATTAAAATAATTCCAAGTTTAAATAGTGCAACGGAACAATACGAATAATATTATTCTTATTGTTCCGTTACAAATATATTATTTATTTATATTTCATGTATGATTCTCATATTCTATCACGATACTCTGTAGTATATATATATATATATATATATATATATAATATTTAGCTACTAGAAGTTTATTTTGTCGTATAACATTCTTGAAACCCTTATTAAATGAATTCACTTCACCTTACTAATTGCTCCATTTCCATATTATATGACAGTTCCATAATACTATTTACAATAACTTTTCTTAATGAGTTTATATTACCTGTAATCAAAGGATTCTCATCGAAGTTTACCATACTGTGAATCTTAGGTGGACGGTCCTGTTTCATTGGAAACTAAGAATCGCCAAATCAGTTGATGACATAAATGTAAGTCACAATGATTTTCTTATATTCCTTGATGTTACTTTTGAACAACATTAAATAAAACTGTTGTGGTACGTGGTTTTATTCAATACAATTACAGTTAATCAAATTTATACGCAATTTTTATATATGGTTTACGATAAAGGCCCCATTTTCACAGAACTTACAACTAATAATTACATGATTTTAGAGGTTTCTCAATTTCAGTAAATGCATCTTAAGCAACGTCACAATAAATCACTTCATCTCAATGGAATTTTCTAGTATTTCAAGTCACCTAAATTTATATCAAACAACTACATAATCTACTTACCTAACGTTTAACAACAAATGAAGTGCATAACTGTAACTTGTCACTTAACCTTGTTAATAATTTATTGACTGCTACGTATTTATGAGTATTTTGACAAATTATGTCTCTAATTCGCCTAATTTATGATGTACTCTTCATATAAGGTCATTACTGCAGCCTTATCTCGTAAACTTATATGTTTTGTGTCATCATAGTTTTCCATCAATTCAATGATAAATTACGTAGTTTTCTGTACTGTATATGGATCAATTGATATATTTTGGGTTTTTCTTTTCCCTAGACATTCGATTAACAGATATTCCTTCGGATAAAACTTTCGTGCAACTTTTTTGTATTTAGACGCACAAATAACCATGAACCTTCCAATCTTCAAGCAGAGTATTTTTATGTCTACCTCATCAATTAAACTGACACCTACCTCAGTTTATATGGTCTCCATTATTGCATTTATATAGTTCAAATGATAACTTTTCATACCAAAAACCGGTTCGCTGCAGATTTTTTTGAGTTTTTTAAATTTGGTTTTCAAACAATTGATTATTAACACATTCTTTGTATTATGTACTAAATCCAATACTTTTGCTATCTGAACACTGTTCTTTGAGCTATTTTTGGACCAAATCTTATCTTCATCTGTATTCGCGATCTCATCTAATGTTGAATTTTTTTCAAATATTTTTGGACTTTGTCTTATTTCTCAATGCTTTGTGACGGTTGATATATATATATATATATATATATATATATATATATATATATATATATATATATATATATATATATATATATATATTACAGTAGTAATCCTGTGACTGAAAATCTCAGAACTGTTTAGTCTTCTTCTCTCTCTAGTTTTTTGTGGTACGTTTTTCAGATGAAGAGTTTTAATATATGTGCTCTTACCACCTTTTTCATCTTTATGATGTGAAGATTTGGTCTACATGGTAGAATTTACGTTAGTAGATGTCAGTCTGAAAAAGTGCGTATGAGACACATACGAAACAGTAATATAAAGTGCAAGAAAACGAATAGTTTGAAGTCACAATAATCCTTATAGAAAGAGTACTATATCATCGATTAGTCACTAAATAAAATGAGTTTATGCTAGGGTGAGACTAAACCGAAATGGGGGGGGGCGAGAATTCGGGTTAGAATAAAAACATGTTTGACCAGAAGTAGGCGAATGAACATGGCTCTTCTTTTTCTAATTTTATTGTTGAATTCACTAGTCAGTTGAAGCTAGACTACCATGAAAAACCTGGAAGCACTGAACGGCCGTTTCGTCATAGTATAGGACTCCTCAACAGTGCACATCCACGAATCCGCCCCGCGAGATTCGAACCCAGGACCTATCAGTCTCGCGCGCGAACGCCTAACCTCTAAACCACTATGCCCGTATCCAACCGTGTTAATGTCTAACTTCAACTAACCCACGAAAGTGAGCCACCGTCCACCATTGTCTTTAGTGAGTTACTACCTCACAACAGACCCATTTTACTATCGAAAGCTTGTCCTACAGTCCAGAATAACGCACAATAAAGACATCTGGACCCCACTTGTGTAGGTTCTTCAAACTGAAACAAAAATATTTTGTTGCTTTGTTCATATGACAAGGTTTCTAATATCGGAAAGAGCTCCATAGGAAATTACATAAACAGATGAAGGGAAAAATGTTGATACGCTCAAACCAGATAACGTCTATTCCTTACTTTGGATACCTAAAATATTAGCTATTAAAACTGCTTCCGTATCTCCTATAATCTCGAAAAGTAATCTGGATACCTCTCCACATTTTCGAAGTTTGTCGATCTTGCGCAACGTGAAACTTGGCACAAATATGCATCGTTTCATGATGCCTATGTGCACCAACGGTTTGGAATTAGGGTTTTCCAACTCACCTAGGTGGATACTCCGTATCCACCAACCCGGTTAAAGCGCCAGACATTCGCTTTTCGTTCTCTCAATTTCGTAAATAACACACCCACTGCGAGAAGGTAGTGAGTAGGACTTCCCTGGCAGAGGCTGTATACGCGTGGCCATGTGAGAGCATTTAGGGGCCGCACTTAACCTTATTCTAAGCCATCACTTCACGAACAAATACCACCTGTGGAAGTAGTTAGGTACGTATAGTACATCCTAACCACGTCAGTCAATAATGATTCACGACCTCACCAACCAGTGTCATCCCTACCTATTACCTCCTGCCTAACCTCACTTTGTCGTTCCACAACATTCAAGTAATTCAGCCTACATGTCTTGTACTTTCAAAATTCGTAGAATAATTCAAAATAGACTGCTCCTCGGTATACTCTTACGTCGACAGAAGTATATCTCTACTACACAAGTGATGTAAATTAGGAAAAAGCCAGATCGAATTTTTTCTGAATCCATGGCGAAATCTCGTCACACCGACTCATCTGGTTTGATTAAACTCCCAAAATCGACTAGTGTACTCCTTATCACTAGTTCGGGAATTTAGATAAACAGCAACTGAAGTAACATTTTACATTTAGAGCGATAAAAATATTGTTGCTCAAGGTGATCAAAATAGTGCAACATGGCGTATTAATCAAACAGGACTATATCACCATCGTATTCTAATTCAACAAGTAGACCTGGAAAATCATTCCTTGAAACGAGAATGTTGCTTTTCGAGGCGATCTTTAAATACGTTCGGTAAAAGTGCAGTTATTTGACGAACTTGAATTAAGGTTGATAGTTCGTCATAAACTCTGACTCAACGCCATTAAGGGTTTGGAAGGCTTGTGTTGTTTTTTATTTATTTATTTATTTGAACACATAAATATTGGTACAAGAGAGCGCCAATATATATGCGCCACACAAAACAATGGGAATTCGAAGAGAAAAAAAAAACAACTAAGGAACGCAAAAGAAAAAGAGAGTAATGACGAAGAGGTACAATCAGAAGAAATCTTTCAGGTAAAGGAGACACAACCACTTTTTATGAAGAAAGTAAAAGAAGGTTACAGCAGGATCGCCACTGGCTTCTATTCTGAGCCATATCTGATAACGTCTCTAGCCACTGTGTAGCACCATCTCTCGGACCCCAGCCAGGGAGTCGTGAAGGACCAACACAAGCCAGTCCTTTGCAGCTTTCTTTCATGCCACGACACCATGTCATGCACTGACCACCTCTCCGCTTCTTCCAACCAGTCCCAGAGTCGGCAAATAATGCACGACGTGGAATTCTCTGGGACGACATTCGGAGAACATGTCCAAGCCACCGAAGTCGGTGTTTCAAGATGGTGACACCAATTGAGTTATCATCTCTGTGCCCGAACACACGATGCCGAAACTCTGCATTACTGACATGGTGTTGCCACTGAATGTCAGCAATCCTTCGGAGACAGCGATGATCGAACACAGAGAGTCGTCTAACGTCCTCAACTCGGAGAGGCCAGGTTTCACAAGCATAGAGCAAAACTGCTCTCACCGACGCGTTGTAGATCCGGCCTTTTACAGCCAGACTAACATCACGAAGGCGCCAAAGGTGGCCCAGATTGGCATAAGCCGCTCTGGCTTTCACTATTCGTGCATTGATCTCATCACTCACACCCCCACCAGCACTTATGCAGCTACCCAGATACACGAACTTCTCGACTACTTCTATCTGCTCACCATCCAGGGTGAGTACAGGATTAGAATCCTGCCAGTCTTGTAGAAGTACTTTGCACTTCGAAGGTGCAAAGCACATACCATACCTACGGACACTGATTGCCAACTGATTAAGTGCGGATTGCATGCCTTGGGCATTATCGCACAGTAAGACAATATCGTCCGCATACTCAAGGTCGAGAAGTCTTTCTCCAGGCAACAGATCCACACCACCATTACTTACATTCATCAGAGCTGTTTCCAGAATGTCATCGATGGCAAAGTTGAAGAGGAATGGTGAGATTGGGCAACCCTGCCTAACCCCACTGCTCGAATGGAACAATGGAGAGAGGTGGTTGTATGCCCTCACTCTGCCTGAGGTGTTTTTATATAGGGCTTTTAGGATGTTAATAAACTTCTCAGGCACACCCTTCTTCAATAGACAATCCCAGAGAACAGTCCTATCCAACGAATCGAAGGCAGCCCTGATGTCAAGAAACACTACGATTGTTGGCCTTTGAAAAGTATGGCGGTGTTCTAACATTTGGCGGAGGGTGAAGATATGATCAATACATCCTCGACCAGAACGAAACCCAGCCTGCTCCTCGCGAGTCAATCTTTCTCGGGTTTTGAACAACCTACGAAGAATGACGGAAGCCAATAGCTTGGACGCAATCGGAAGTAAACTTATCCCCCGATAGTTGTTACAAGAACGACGTGAACCCTTTTTAAAGATAGGGACAACTATCGACTCATTCCATGACGTTGGTACACTCTCTAGTTCCCAAACCTTTGTAAACAACGTCGTCAATTCCTTAATCAAAAAGTCACCACCATCTTTAAAAAGAGCCGGAGGTAAGTCATCTGGGCCAGGTGATTTGTAACGCTTCAAGAGTTGGAGTTCCTTGCGGACTTCCTCCTCATTTGGTGGATCAGTCGTCACCGGCCATGGAGGGCAGGACAGTCTGACCGATGTTGCCGGAGCAGCAGGCCAGTTGAACTGCCCTTCGAAAAATTCTGCCCATCGTCCAAGACGTCGATGGATGTTAGTGATTGGCATCCCATCATCCTCGCAGATTGTTTCACTCACACCAGACTTCTTGCTGCCAGTGGCTCGGATGAATTGGAAGAGCTTCCGGCAGTTACCAGATGCAGCTGCTGCTTCCAGCTCATTAGCACGCATCGACCACCAGGCTTCTCGGTCCTTACGCAAGCTTTGCCCGATTTCCTTACGTAAAATCCTTCGTTTATGGTCAAACTCACGGTTACCCGGAGTAGACCGACGGGCTTCAATGAGTTGTAAGGAACCAGAAGAAACCCAGTGCTTAAAAGCGGGACGTTTCGCAAACCCACAACTGACTGTTCCCGCCATTTTCATGGCGTCATGCAATTGCAACCAATGCTCATCTATACTTTTCGGTGGAGTGGTAGCTAGCCTAGAGGCTAGCTCGGTTCGATACTTACTTGCAGCAGAAGTTGCAACCAGCTTGCTAACATCAATCCGTTGATGGCGTTCACTTCGTTGTCCACTGAAAAGTAAGGCAAGATTGGCGCAGACCAAGGCATGGTCAGAGTCCAGATAGGTACTCCAAAAGGAGCGGCAGTCTTGTACACAACCACGCCAGCGGTAGCTGATCGCGATGTGATCAATCTGAGTCCAGGCTTGAGATGCAGAGGGAGGACGCCAGGTGGCACATCGGCGATGACTGTGCCGAAAGTTAGTGCTAGCCAGAAACAGGTTGTGGTCTGCGCAAAGTTGCAGTAGACGGTCCCCGTTATCTGACCTGCGACCAACGAGTCCCCATCGGCCACCTAAACGACTCTCTTCTGTGCCTAGACGCCCGACCTGAGCATTCAAGTCTCCGGCTAGTACTACAATATCTGTCGAACGCACTTTCTGGAGAAGAACTGATAACTGGTGGTAAAACTCATCCTTGATTGCATCCGGGCTGCAATCTGTCGGGGCATAGGCGGAGATGACGAAAAGACATCGTTTCTCACGCCGATTTCTTCTCACTTTGATGGAACTTTCTAATCTAACAGCACATAACCGACTGTTAATGGGGATCCAATCGACTAGTGCTGCCTCAGCTCTAGCGCTTAGTGCGACACCGACGCCGGCA